GCCTCCCAGAGTGCTAGGATTACAGGCGTGAGCCACTGCGCCCGGCTATCTTAACTTTTAAAAGGAAAAACATCTAATGAAGACATAAAGTTCAAAATATGTGGTTTACTTTGAGATGAAGAAAAAGGAAAAAAATGTTGCTTTTCTATCTGTCAACTTTGTATTATTCATATGCAGACAGAGTGATGAGGCTGCCTGTAGGCTTATCCGGAAGCATTTCTCAAAATTAAAAGTCTAAATTAAGTACAGTTGGCCCTATGTAACCATGGATTCAACCAAGAATCAAAAATTTTTTAAAAATTAAAAAAAAAAAAGATGGTTGTGTCTGTATGAACATGTGGAATCCTTTCTTCCTTTTTACCCCTGTCACCCTCCCTAAGCAATACAGTATAGCAACTATTTACATAGCAATTATTAGGTATTAGGTACTAGTGGTTATCTAGAAATGATTTAAGTATATGGGAGGATATGCACAGGTTATATGCAACTACTATGCCATTTTACATCAAGGACATGGGCATCCGTGGATTTCTATAGACATGGGAGGTCCTCAAACCAATCTTCCATGGATACTGAGGGACAATTGTATTTCTTAAAAATATACAATGTATATATATATACACAGAAGGTCCTACCAAGTAATGGGCAATACAAGTTTCAATTAAATTAAAATGGTACTTAAAAAAATTTTCAATTATCAATTCAATTTACCCAACATCATCAAAAAGGAGTAAAGTTCAAGATCTGACAAGCAGCATGCTATCGACACTACACTTCTCTCTTCTAATTAATCATTATTCCTTAATTTCTAGTTTAAGAAAAGCCAACAAGGCAGAAGCAATATTTATCACTGTAAGGATGTATAATGGCTATGATCCCAACTGCTAAAAGTTTAGTCTTGAATGTGGTTTATCACCTGAGCTTGGTGAGGATACAACTATTAATAAAAATGACATTCACTTGGTTGAATTTTAAGCCTCAATTTAAATGCTAGTGTTACAGTAACTATTATAACATACTTCAGAGACTATATTTTCAGTTTAAATAAATTAACATAGAACACAGTACCTGGAACAAAGCAGAACTGTTGGATGTATTAACTCATGAAGCATGGCTTTATGCACAGGTTTGAACCTTTGGGTAATACCCTGAAATTTTCACACACAACAGGTAAACCTAATCGTACCACCTAACTAATACTTGAATCCCTTCTAAACTATTCCTTCTTAGTGGTCAACTAGGTTAAGTTTGAACACTTCCAGTAATCTATTTTCTGAGATTATTCATACTCCAAATTTGAAGAAGTATGTCAGAAAGTTCTTTACATTTACCAAAAAGGAAAATACTCCCTGAAACTGATATTCTATTAAATTAAAGCCTACTATAAGAAGTCTAATCCCCTCTTTACATGGCCCATTTCTAATATATGAAGAAAGCATGTATTCTTATCACTTCCGGGCTAAATATACCTAAATCCTTCATCCATTTTTCATAGAGTTCCCCTTAAGGGTCACATTCAAAAAAAATTTTTTTGGAGGCAGGGTCCCACCATGTTGTCCAGTCTACTCTCAAACTCCTGAGCTCAAGCAATCTTCCTGCCTCAGATTCTTGAGTAGCTAGGATTACAGACATAAGCCAAAGCACCCAGCTAAGATTTACATTTTATTCAAACCATCTAATAAAAAAAATACTACACATTAGGCACTGAGCTCAACTATATTAAAATTTATTTTCCTTCAAAAATCTGTATCATAGTAACAATTAAAATGTCAATTAGATTATTAGTGCTAAAAGTAGAGACCTGGTACAGCCAGGCATTCTGTGACTCTAGAATCTCCACCCTCCAATTTGACCCTCAATAAACTGTAAAAATTAACAGGTAAGATAAAGGAAAAGCATATTACACTGTTTATTTTCTATATGTATTTTACTGGGAACAGGAGTAATTGAAACTAAATAACAAACCTGAAATTTAGCCACACAACTGGAATTGCAAAAGTTATACAGTTTTCCATCAGGCATTGTGGCTTGGTATTGAGGTAAAGAGTTTCGCTTACAAAAATGGCAAATAATTCCCAAACCTAGGAGAAAAAAGGTATATATCTGATTTCATTATAAGGTAGTAATAAGACTTTAAAAAAATCTTAACTGCTGAGATTATTTTTTAATGTAACCTTCTGTAAACTATTCTTTTATTATCTGTACCTCAAATAGACAAGATTATTTGTACCTTAAAAAATACTGTCAAAAAGAAGACTGGTATTGTCCCTAAAACATACATGGATACATCAAAAAAAAATCTCAGTTTTAGATAATTTTTTTGGCTGGAACAACAATTTTAGCTAAGAACACAGATATAGAAAGAACTTTAAAAAATTAATAGTAGTACAGAATGATCAAAATAATTAGAAGAGTTTACATACAGTAAGAAAGTTTAGTGTGGTAATAAAAATTTTAAAATAAAAGCAGTTAAAAACAAGGATAAGAGCAAAGTTAAAGGAAGAGTTACTTGTGCAAAAAGTAATTATGGTATAAAGTCTAACTTTCCAAATACCTGAAACTTACTTTGTGATTTTGCATATTTTGTCTTGTGACTGTTCATACAAGCAGTTGAACAATATGGCTCCATATATCCATTAGGACCTATACACTGAGTCATATCAAAAAATCTGCACTGTGTTCGGCAACCAGTGCAAGTTGTCAGTTTTCCATATTTCTAAAATATGAAACATAAAAAGATAACTTTAAAAATCACAACTTAACTAGAAAAAAATTATCATATTTTTCATTACACTTTTTGTCTCTGCAAAACAATTCTATTAATCCCTAAACAGGATTAGTCAGAAGTCTGGATGCAAACTGTTAACTGCAGCAACTGCTAAATTAGGTTCAAAAAAGCAATGATCCTCAGCTTAGTCAGCTTCAAAAACAGAGTAGTTTTCTCTATTAACTTCACTGAACAGAAACCCTACATATAGTTAAGTAAGAACTCAAAATCTAGGAAAGGCACAGTATTTTTTGTTTACAATGAGACCACACTTCTTTGTCATTTGGCAGAAGAAATTAAATGGAGCTATGAAATATAAGCCTCAATAATCAAGATTTGATCAAAAGTACATCAAAGGAAGAGTTTAAAGACTTTAAATACTATTTCCATTGAGCTGCTATTGTTCCGAGCACTTTTTAGACCTTCTCTTAAAAAATGATTTACTAGCTATCTACTACATTTAAACCTCATTTGACCACAATAAAATACAAAATTTTTTTTAAATTCAAAAAATGTTTAAACTACATTGAAAATGATTTCTAGTTATTAACTAAAGTTAGTAATTAGTCAATAGACAATAAAGTTAATCTTCCTGCCACAAGTGAATATTGTCATGTACCGCACAACGATGCTTCAGTCAAAGATGGACCACATATATAACGGTAGACACATAAGAAAATAATACCATATTTTAACTGTATCTTTTCTATGTTTAGATATGTATAGATACACAAATACTTACCATTGTGTTTTAACTGCCTACAGTATTCAGGAGAGTACCATGCTGTACAGATTTGTAGCCTAAGGGGAATAGGCCAAACCATATAAGCCTACGTGTGTAGTAGGCTACACCATCCAGGTTTGTGTAAGTACACCCTATGATGTTCACACAATGATGAAATCACCTACCAATGCATTTCTCAGAACCTATCCCCTTCGTTAAGTGATGCATGAGTGTATTTGCCAACAACGAGGTTAATTCAAAGAAATGAGATAAAGACGGGGGCGGAGGGAGGGTGCTTCAAAAATTACAAGGACAAAAGCAGTAGCACTGAAATATGAACAGTCTTGCAAAAATACAATTCAGATGAACTGGTATGTTCATATTAAAAAATTGACCTGATAGTCATAATTAGAAATCAACCATAAGGAAAAGCAAGCCTTCAAGTGCAACTTGTTTTTTGATCCTCTTTCTGAGTGGTTACAGAACTCTTGTCTCAAGTTAAATCGAATATCACAAATCGGTTGCAAAATAATTGTATCCATCTTTCTACCTGATGTTGCAATGATTTATCTCCATCTTCATACCCAGGAGAATGTAGTACAGTATGAAAATTATAAGAAAGCCTCAAAGTGTTCCATGGACGGGTGAATAACAGATGTCAAGGAAGATGACAATCAGGCCAAAAATAACACACGAAATGGATAAACTGCATGGGAAAATTTCACAAACACCACAGGATTTCAGAAAATGAAGGTAATAAATTGAAGGTAGAAATAACCAAAAGGAAAAAAAAATACAACCAACATTAAAAAAAGAAAACAACTTTCTCAGTTTCCAACAAATAGAACAACCATGAGAAAACATAGCTGTTTATGTGCCAGGAATGTATGTAATATTCACTCTTACACTATAAAAAAAATCCATGCTGTCTATTACTCATTTCTCAAATGCTGCCTAAAGGAAACCCTAGATTTTACTCTTCAAAGTGGAAATCAACTCATTCTTCATCTGCTAGACCCCAAAAGAAGTACTTATCAACGGCGAACGAATGATAACAAGGAACAAATAAAAATGGCTGCAAATATTGCATCTAATTCTAACTTTTCCAATGATACAAGGACAATAGAGGAGACTGTTCTAATTTTTTGTGTTCCTGAGATGTATTTGACGACTTAAATTTTTATACTAGAAAAAGGACAAAAGAAAGCAGGTCGATAATAGAAGATTAAAGAATGTTTAAAACCTAAAACCACAATGCAAATTAGTAATACTAAAAAACATCCACAACATCTGCCACTGTGTTGCTCCCACTAGATATATGTATGAGACCTTCAGGTATTAGCACCTATAAAGAATTCTTTTACCAATATAAATGAAGCCTAAACATCTACGCAAATCTTGGATTTGATTTTAATTATAAACATTCAAGTTGACAAAGTGAGTCTTATCACTTGGATGTGATTCTGACATTGATTTTATTGGCAGAATGATTAAATAATTATTAACAGTTTTAAGACATCAAGTAAACAAGGAGCTAGCCAACTGGTCCACACTGACAAGTACTTTTACCTGAAGAGAATGAGAAAGTACTATCGGAAATACAGAATCATTAGTATTACGATTATTTCAACACCACCACTGTCATAGCTACCACTGCTTCAAAAACTAAAGGACCCATTTAAAGAAAGAGTATTAGCGAAAAAGGAGATGTAATTTCATACCATGTTTGCTCAGCTTCAAATGTATTAAAAATAATCATTTAAATTTCATACAAACTTTCAAGGCATCCTATAAATTTGCATTTAATGATGTAAATGAAAAAAATTAAATGGAACAAATTCAGAATTCAAATATTCTCTTTTCAGGCATGGGGGAAAATAAGCCTACATACAACTGTGGTAAAAAAGAATAAGATAGAATTGATTGAAACAAGATACTGGTAAGGTAAAAGGTAGGTATGATGGGGAGTTTATGGCAAATTGGTACATTTTCAGTCTACTAATTTAAAAGATGTACCTTACATTTTAATTTTAACCAATTTCACATGAATATCAAAATTAACCTTCACATGATTTTATGCATTTAACACATTAACTGCCATATGCGTTGTATTTAACTCACTCTAGTTTTGAGCCTGGGGCCTCGTGAAGCACACATAACTCACAGGTCTCCTGACCTTGGGAGCAGCACGGTGCACAGGCAACTCACTCTGCCATGCTGTAGCATACATGTTATGTCATGGGTGGCCCCCTGGGCAAAACCCTGCAGTTGGCTCATCGATGTTCTTATTGTTACAATTAATATTGACAATTAAATTGTAAAAAAGTGGATTCGATGAACAGAAATCAATAAATTTCATTTTTCTATTTAAATTACAATTAAGCCTCACAAGTCAAGAAAAACACTTTACCTCTATGAATCACTTTTCAAGTTTTCACATTACTTTTTACATCACTTATTTTCAAGTTTTTATATTACTTTTTCATTGATGTATGTTTTAGGAAAAAGCATTCTACACAAAAGTACACATTACATTTGCTGCATTTCCATGCTGTCTGTTTACATCTTTTCATGGCATAGTCACGTCCTTTCTCAGCTTGTGTTTTTTCATAACACACAGTACATCTTCTTCTGGCAGAGCCCATGTTCCTGAGGGAACAAGTCACAGACGGCAATGGGAGGGACGGCACCGCAGTAGATGTTTCATCTGTCTGGAGCAGTTTTAGGCAAACTTGTTCTTTGAATTTTGTGATTGAGATGTTCTTTTTGTTCACAACTCTGTAGAGAACAAGTGAGTTTACCAAAGCTGATCCTGTGATTAGCTCTATTGCTAATTTTCTGAACCACTTTATGCCACGTCTCAAAGAACATGAATATGACTTCAGTTGATCTGAGAGGTCAATGAACGCCTTTGAATTATTATAATCTACAATCATATGTGGTTTTTCCACAACACCTTTTCTCGTTTCAACTGCTTTGGTGTCTTCGCCGTGCATAGTACTCAGCATCAGTACATCTCTCTTATCCTTCCATTTGAGGACGACGACTCCCGTGTCACTTTCTCGAGCTATTACTTCATTCTTGTTCAGCTTTGCTTTCACCACATCTGGCGGGTTTAGCTTCCTGTTACTTTTTAGTGTGCCCACCAGATATGTAGAGCGCTCAAGGAGCTGATGAGCTAGGTGGATGCTGGTGTAGTAGTTGCCAGTGTATAAAACATGTCCACTATCTAGTAAACCTTCTATTAGCTTCATGACAACAGAGGACGAAACAGGAATGCCAGATCTTGCTTCCTTCCCACAATAAATTTTCACATTCCAGGTGTAACCATCTTTTAGGCAAAGTTTGAAAAGTTTTATTCCAAATTTATGGCACTTGTTTTTTACGTACTGTATGAAACTCAAACGTCCATGAAATGGCACCATTGTTTCCTCAATACATATTTCCTTATCTGGAACTACAGCAACCTGAAACCTTTCAAGAAGACGATCAAGAAGTGGTTGGATCTTGAAGAGACGGTCACCAGGAGGACATTCTTCATTGTTAGAGAAATGCCACATTCTCAGCAGCATTTCGAAGCGGTTACGTGATATAAGCTTTTTCACTGAATTGTCATACAAAATGTTTTTTGACCAATAGTCCGGAAGTCTTGGCTTCTTGCTAAGGCCCATCCAAAACAATACTCCCAAAAATCGCTCCATTTCTTGAGAAGTAACATCATACCACTTTTTTAGTCGGGAGTGCGGTTTGACATTACCCTTTTGTAAAGTCTGACTTGCGTAGATATTAGTTTCCTTCACCATGTAGTCAATAACATCATCTGTTATGAAGAATTTGAAAAAATCATAAGGTGTTTTTTCATGGAGATTTACCGCAATTTCTGTTGGAACACCAGGGTTACTTTCAACGAAGTCAAAAATCTTCATGTTACTTCCTGACACTGGACCCCAGGTCAGAGAATTTACACTAGTCACTACAGGTTCTTCAGAAACATCTGAGGAAGAATCACTCTCACTGAAATCGGCCACAACTGCTTCGACTGTTTCAGTAACAGATTTTGAACAACCTTCCCCACTGGAAAGATCTGTATGTATTGTTCTTCTTCTAGTTTTTCTTGGTGGGCTGCAACTGCTATCAGAACTGTCCCCACTATCTCCACTAGGACGGCACTCCTCTGAATCATCACTAAATAGATCAACATCTTCATCACTCATGTCCAAAACTTCGTTCACCATTTCCTCCAACAATTCCTTACGCTCATTTTCTCTAGACATTTTCTCCTGAGAACGAAAAACGCAAAATAAACTTATGTGATGATCACAGCTCTGGTCACAGAAGCTACACTAAAGTAGAACTGGCGGATAGGCGGGAAGGTCCATAGCAGCCTGCACGCTGTGAAACCTCTGCTCATTTCGCTGTCAATCGGCACGTCTCCCCCACCTCCTGTCGCCCTGCTCCAGCCGCCTGCCAAGCACACCACACGTGCTGGACTGTGTTCTCCAATTACCATAACTTCCAACTGCGCATTTCCCCTTGAATGTTTGCCTGGCAGCTCTTTGAACGAAATCAATGACAGTATGCGGCGATGTGACATTGTTGCAAATACTTAGGGCATATGATTCAGAGGTCGTCATCCAGGACCACCCAAGGTCCACTCCAGACACAACTAAATACTTGCAGAATGACCAAAAGACTCAATTCTCAGAAACAAATTTAATAAGTATGTCGTGAGTCACATACAACTCATGTGGCGTGCAGTGCATAAATTGATTCTAGTGTCTCGTGAGTTGAACATAACTCACACACAGAAAACAATAAAAAATAACAAATTTTTCATTAAGTTAGAAAGGATCGTTTTATTTTCAAAGTTTTTATTCTATTTCCATAAGAAAACACCATGGCCCCAAGGAAAAATTTCTTTTTCTAGTGTGGCAGTCAATGTGTTAATAACATTCTGAGAATGGTCTGTCCACATACACTAAAAAAGTCCAAAGCACGGAAATAGCAAAGAACCCTGATTAGAGGAAGTAGTAATCAAACTTCAATAATGATATATATTGTGCTATTTAAGATTAAGAGATAAATTCAATTAAAAATTATAGTTCATTTATTCAATAAAACCCTGAAATCACCTCTTTATGCTGCAAGATCTGTTTGAATAAAGAAAAAAAGGTCTAAAAATTATTCGCCATTGTGTTTTAGTTTTTTTTTACTACTGTATCATTTACAATTTTTCTTTTAACACAAATATTCTACTTTTGTAGTTTAAAAAAATTTTCTAATTGACAATGGATGCTACAAACAGTGGGTAAAAAGTTTTCTGAAGAGGGTATTTATATAGTATCATATACATATACCACCCAATGAAAAAATTACACAGATACAGAGGGAAAAATAGCAACTTTACCCTAGAGAAACCTGACATTCACTTAACCAAGTTAACATACATTAATGGGACAAAATAGACATCATGTGTCTCCTGATGTGCACAAAGAAAGACACCATATCACTTATTAAGTATTCATGCCAAAAATGCTTTACCTCAATCGAATCTTGAAAAAATACTAAACAAACACAAATTGCAGGGCACTCTAGAAAATGGTCTATATTCAAAAATGTCAAGGTCATAAAAGACAAAGAAAGACTTTGAATACCACTTCCTCTAACCAGGGTTTTTGCTATTTCCATCTAGATTAAAGCAGAGGGGGATCTTCCACTCCCAACCAAAAGGGACTAGATTTAACCTTTAACAACTAGAAACTAGACAAAAGATATGAAATAATGGTTTTCAAACTTTGCACACAAGGTAGTACAGGACTGTATACCTAAGAAAAGGAAACAAATCAAGCGAGCACTACTGCCACCAAAGCTTATTGCCTGGAGGCAACTGCGGGGAAGGGGAGGCTAACAGAGCCTATCACTTTCACTAAGTTGACGAAACAGATGGAGTTCCAGGCAGCTAGAATTTGGGAAGCTGAGTACTGAAGACGAGGGAACTGCACAAAAAAGAGCTCTGGGTATCTACAGAAAGGTATTCATAAAATAAGTCTTTGGCTAAAAACTGACCTATGCATATGTGAGAAGAAACCACCTGAGGCTAGAGAAAGAACCACAAACCCACAAGAAAGCATTAGGCCAAACAGTTCACAAAGCACACACAGGCCAGGAGTACTCTGTGTTGCTACCTGTAAGAGTGAGAAAATCTTAAAATACAGGGAGATTCACGTAGAGTAGTCAGAAGGTATCACTACAGTAGTAGAGACTAGTCTACTCCATCAAAGGCTATTTAAAAAGCTTAAAAGCAAGTCTCATAGGGATCCAAACAAAAATAATTCCAAGTAATTTGACAGTATGCCAGAACAAAGTCCAACAACAAAATCCAGTAACCAACAAAGTAAAATTCACAATATTCAAAATCAAATAAAAAATTACCTGGCATTTTGCAAAATAGCATGAAAATACGACCCATTACCAAGAAGGAAAAAAGAAATTCAAACTGTAAAAACAGACCTAGATGACAGATATGAAAATAGTAGGTAAAGATATTAAAAGAATTACCATAAATATTCTGATATATTAAAAAACTAGTAGAGGAAAACATGAACATAGTTTAAGGAATGTGTGATATAAAAACAATCAGGTACCGTGGCATGTGCTTATAACCAGCTACTCAGAAGGCTGAGGCAGATCACTTGAGCCCAGGAGTTCAAGACCAGCCTGGGCAACATGGTAAGATTTCATCTCAAGGAGAGAAAAAAAAAAACAAAAAAAACCCTCAAATGAAATTTTTACAGATAAAAAAACAGAACATCTGAGATGAAAAATACACTATATGATATTAACAGTTGATCAATGAACTCAGAAACTCTCCCACATGGAGCACGGAAGGTAAAAAAAGACTGAGGGAAAAAAACAATAAATAGAACCTCAGAGACTGTGGGACAATAGCAGGAAGTCTCATATATCTGGAATTGGGGTCTCGGAAGAGAGGGGAAGGACTAAAAAAATATTTAAAGAAATAATGGCCTACGATCCTGAATTGGACGAGAAATAAATCATTTTTTAATTTGCTATGAGGGACATAAATGGACAAAATTTGAATAAGATCCATAGATTAACCTGATAACAATAGTTTACAGATATAAATACGCTTATATAAATTCACGGTACTACAGTTAAAATTACTCCTAATTGCACACATTTATTACCCATATACTAATTTATTTATCTGGATTAACAAGAATATAAACAGAAATTTTTTAAAAGAAAAGATTTTTGGTTGTTTATTTTTAACCTTTCAGTTTGGCACAAAAGACAGGGATTTTTATATCCCATAATTAAATGACACTGTATACAAGGTATTGTGTATTAAAAAATAATATCTGAAATTAGTTTTCTAAGATTATAAATATCTGAAGGCAAATGAGCATATCACAAGAAAATACTTACATCTAAAATTCAATAAAATTAGAAAAATCTATGTCTTGGAGATAAAATATTTATCATCTGATATATTTTAAATTCAGAAAATTTAATATAGTTCAAAATGCACAAGACTTTTCAGGTACATATTAAAAACGGTAGCAATGCTTGAAAATGTAAAGGCCTTAAATCCCACCTACATTCCTGCTTACCTCAGGCTGCATTAAGAAAGAGTCCTGCATGTGATCTCGAACCTCCTTCAGGAAGCTTGGATGGCTACCTACCTAAAAAAAAAGATTTAAAAAGACTATAAATACACACAAAGAAAGGCTGCTAGATTGAAAGGTAAACAAGCAATATATAAAAGCTGATTCTCAATTATGTTTTGTGATTTATAGATTCATTCCTACTTTTAAAAATGCCTGTCATGTCCCCACTGCTTTTGTCCAACTTAACACAAGAATATCAAATAATTTTAATTACCCTAGAAAAAATGATATGATAGAACAATAATATAATAATCAGGTAAGGAATTAAAGATAGACACTTAGACTTGACTCACCTCTAACTAAGAAAAATCACTTCTGTCTCTTAGATGGCTTAGTGAGTTCTAAAATCTCTTTAAAACCCATTAAACTAACATTAATAATGAAATCTCAAAGCTTACTAAATTAAGTGACTTGGAGATTACATAATTACAATTTTCACCATCTGCAAAATAGGTTGTTTGGGAAATTCTTTTTAAAGCACATATGACATCTTCCAACATATAATACAAATTTACATCCTTACTCCTTGCAGAAAAGTTTTAAAAGGTATGCTTCCTGCTTTCCATGAAAGTCGAAACACGATACAAGAGGAAAACTACTGAAAGGCAAGAGGTAAGTATTATATAGTCTCTACTAACAGGATTCAGATTGTTTATTGTATCAGTATATTCCAGAAACTAACTAAGCAATGAGGACACAGATAAACAACAAAAGCAGCCAAGTTAAATGTTAAAAACAAAGGTCAAAGTAGGGGAAATAAGGAACACATATCAATTTTAGTTCCCAGGCTGCAGAAAAAGAAAACATTGACTAGAGCATCTCATGTAGTGGTCTCCAAACATGTCTGATTGGGTCTCTTTATCAGTAAAATGGTATGTATGGGCTCCTACTTATTTACTAATGAATTAAGAACATATAGTATGTGAATTATAAACATATTCAAATAATTTTAGAGAATGAAAGATGAATCACTATTTTAAATTAACTTTTATTTAATGATAGTACAAAGAACATTTTCTATTTTCTATATTCACTATAGTAGAATCATTTGGTATCCCTGGAGCCTATGTGGGATGTAGTATCAAGGAACTCCTACTCCCCTAAGTCAGGGTGGTATTAGCCAAAGCCCAAAAAGGAGCCAGAACTCCCACAACACTCAGCAATAATTATCAAGGAGCTCCTCCTCCTTCCACGGGTGTACAAAGGCTGGACTTCTATATTCACCCGGTAATAAGGAAGTATAGGCTTCCATCCTCTTACGAGAACAGTGCCAAATGAAGCCAGCTAAAACAAAAGTTTACAGAGCCTCATTACATAATACCCAAAATGTTCAAATTTTGATAAAAAAAAAAAATCACTTACCATACTGAAACCAGGAAAATTACAATTTAAATAAAAAGGAATCAATAGATGCCAACACCAAAATAACAGAGAAGTTAGAATTCTGACAAAGATTTTAAAGCGGTCTTCATAAAAAATGTTCTAAGAACCAATATAAATGGAATTAAAAACAAATAAAAAAATGGAAAATCTCAGCAAAGAAACAGAAGATACAAAGAAGAATCAAATGAAAATCCATGAACCGGAAGATAGATTAATAAAAACTACCCAATCCAAACAACAAGGAGAAAACAGACTTGGGGGCAGGGAGGAGGGAGGGAGGGGACAGCACCTCAGCAATCTGTAGGACTGTAACAAAAAAATATAACATTCATGTCATTGGAGTCCCAGAGGACAGAGCTAGAAAAATCCTCAAAGAAATACTGTCTGAAATGACTCAAGTTAGGCAAAAGACATAAATCTACAGATAGAAGAAGGTTAGCAAAACCTCGAAAGGATAAGGCCAAGTAGGAAACTAGAACTTCCACCCCACCAGGCAGTAACAGGATACCTTACCATCCACAACCACTCCCCCAGCCCTACCCCCACCCCCACCGAAAGAAAGTCAGAAACCTTTACCAACAACTACCAGTAAAATTAAAATTATAGAGATTATAGAGTCTGGGGAGCATAATGAAAAAGAGAAAGAATGAAGAGTGAGTAAAAGCCTAAGGGGCTTATGGGCCAAGATCAAACAGACCAACAGGCACTTCATGAGAGTTCCAGAAGGAGAAAAGGGCAGAAAGATTATTTGAAAAAAAAAAGGCTGAAAACTTACCAAATTTGACAACTGTCACAAATCTACAACTATAATAAGCACAACAAATTACAGGCAGGATAAATTCAAAGAGAAACACAGTAAGACACATTATAATCAAAATGTTGAAAGACGAAATGAGAATTTTGAAAGAAGAGAGAAATGACTCAGCATAAGAAATCCTCAATAAGATTGACCACCAATGTCACAAAAGAAACAATAGTTGGAGATTTCAATATACCATTTTTTTTTATTTCAGCATATTATGGGGGTACAGAAGTTTACGTTACGTATGTTGCCTTTGCCCCCCTGTCCCCCTCCAAGTCCAAGCTTCAAGCATGTCCATCCCCCGGATGGTGCGCATCACACTCTTTGTATATGCGTATACGCGTCCCCTCCTCCTCCCACCCCCTCCTCCCTGCCCGACACCCAATAAATGTTATTCTTATATGTGCACCTGTGTGTTGATCAGTTAATACCAATTTGAAGGTGAGTACACGTGGTGCTTGTTTTTCCATTCTTGGGATACTTCACTTAGTAGAATGTGTTCCAACTCTTCCCAGGAGAATACAAGAGGTGCTATATCACCATTGTTTCTTAAAGCTGAATAGTACTCCATGGTATACACAATATACCATTTTCAATAGTGGATAGACCATACAGACAGAACTTCAATTAAGTAAAGACAGATCCTGAACAAAACTATAAACCAACTAGAGCTCACAGACATATATAAAGTATGCAACAAAAGCAGAATAAACTTTCTTCTCTAGTGTACATGGAACATTCTCCATGTTAGGCCACAAAAAGTCTCAATAAATCTATGAAGATTAAAATCACACAGAGTATATTTCCAATCACAATGAAGTGAAACTAGAAATTCATAACAGAAGGAAAACTAGAAAATTCACAAATATAGGGATATTAAACTACACACTCTCAAACAACATGGCTCAAAGAAGCCGCCACAGGAAAATTTTAAAATACTTGGAAACGAATGAAAACCAAAAAAATACCAAAAGTTATGGGATACAGAACAAGCAGTGATCAGAGGAAAATTTATAATTATAATTACTTATGTTAAAAAAGAAGAAAGATCTCAAATCAATAACCTAACTTCATACCACCTTGAGGAAAGAGAAGAGAACACTAAACCAAAGCCAGCGGGAGAAAGGATATAATAAACATTAAAGCAGAGACAAATAAAATAGAACAGAAAAACAACAGAGAGAAATAACAAAACCGAAAAAGTTAAAAGATCTAGAAAACAGAAAATCCTTTCGCTAAACAAAAGACACAAAGAACAAAATATAGAAGTGGGAACATTACCACTGACATTCCTGAAATAAAAAGTATTTCAAGAAAACGCTATGAACAATTGTACGCCAACAAATCAGAAAACCATCCTAGATGAAATGGACAAATTCCTAAAAACACACAAACCACAAGAAGAAACAGAAAATGTCAACGGACCTAAAACAAGACATTGAATCAGTCATCAAAAACCTCCCAACAAACAAAGGCCAAGATCAGATAGCGGCTTCACTGGTAAATTCTACCAAACATTTAAAGAACTGACACCAATTTTTCCAAAAATCAGAGGAGGCAACATCCCATTCCATTCCATGAGGCCAGCATTACCTTCATTCCAAAGACATCAAAAGAAGGAAAATTTGAGATTAGAATCCCTTATAAACAGGGTCAGGTGCTACAGCTCACACCTGTAATCCTAGCACTTTGGGAGGCACGGTGTGAGGATAGTCTGAGGTCAGGCGTTCAAGACCAGTCTGAGCAAAGAGACCACATCTCTATAAAAAATAGAAAAATTAGCCAAGCGTGGTGGCATGCATCTGTAGTCCCAGCTACTCTGGAGGCTGAGGCAGGAGGATAACTTGAGCGTAGCAGTTAGAGGTTGCAGTGAGCTATGATCATGCCACTGCCCTCATTCCCAGGCAACAAAGTAAACCAGAATCCTTATAAACACACGTGCAAAAATCCTCAACAAAGTACTACTAAACTGAATTCAACAACGTATTAAAAGGACTACACAACATGATCAATTCATCTCAATAATGGAAGGTGGTTCACTATAATAAATCAATATAACACACCACATTAATAGAACAAAGGTAAAAACCACATGATCATCTCCATGCAGAAAAAACATTTGTTAAAATTCAACACCTTTTTATGATTTAAAAAAAAAAACCCACTCAACAAACTAGGCATACAAGGAAACTACCACAAAATAATAAAGGCCGTATATGAACAACCCATAGCTAACATCACACTTGATGTTAAAAGACAGAAAGCTTTTGCTCTAAGATCAGGAAACAAGACAAAGAACCCTACTTCCACCACACTTCTTCTTATTATTTTTTTAAGAGAGAAGACAGGGTCTTGCTCTGTCACCCAGACTACAGTATAGTGATGTGATCATAGCTCACTGTAACCTCAAATTCCTAGGCTCAACCAATCCTCCCACCTCAGCCTCCCAAGCAGCTAGGAATACAAGCACATGCCACCACACCCAGCCAATTTTTAAAAGTTTTTTGTAAAGACGGGGTCTCACTATGCCCAGACTCACCATTTCTATTCAACACTGTATTGAAAGTTATAGCCAGAACAATCGAGAGGAAAAGGAAATAAAATGTATCCAAATTGAAAAAAAAGAAGTAAAACTATCTCTACTCACAGATGATAGAGAAAATCCCAAGGAATTCACAATAAAGCTACCAGAGCTAGTAAACAAATTCAGCAAAATTGCAGAGTGCAAGATCAATGCAAAAAAATCAGTTGTATTTCTACACACTAGCAATGTACCATCTGAAAAAGAAATAAAGCAAGTCCATTACAATGGCATCTGAAAGAATAAACA